GTCAACTACATTTGGAAAGCTTTCAAGCATGTCGGCTTTAGGCAGCAATGCGAGGCAGAATGAAACTGATGGAGACACATTTGTCAAATGAATAAATTCTTCTTTCTTTCCGTCTTTCTCACACACCATAAACAGCCAAGCATAAGCAAATCTGCACACCTGCAAACACACACCTGCTCCATCAATGAGTTGGCTTATGTCAAGGCAGCTCGCTATTATTCAGTAAGCCAAAATATCAAACTAACTATCCCTCTAATAAGCACACATGAGACTTGACAGCCATGCATAAAAACTGCTCTGTTTACACTGAATATTCATAGCAGGGTGAAATAAATTAAAACGCTTCCCACCTCTGTTAATCATCATTCTGGCAGTGAGGCTGTGCTAAGCACAAAGTGAAGAAGAGAGGCAGAGGTAGACTGAGGTGAATGAGGAGCGGAAGAAATTAAGGTAACTTCCAAAACTGAACACAAGACACACACAAAAGAAAGAGAAAGAGAGAGAGAAAATGTCATCGCAGCACAATTTTTCAAAGGAAAGTCAGGATGATGACAACGGTTAAGATATAAGACAACGTATACCGAACTCATCCAATATGAGGTGTACACATGCGCGAGTGTATGTTGCTCTCATTCATCACGCAGGCTCAACATGCAGTCAGGATAAGAATCCGAAGCAATGTTTTCTTCCATCGCTGCTTTTGTCAGTGAATGATTGCCGGGAGAGGCAGGAGCCATGACAGACATGAAGGGCTCTCGCACCAAGCAAGGGGGGGGGGGGGGGTTTGATTTAAAATTCAGACTGAAAATCCATCAAGATTTGCTCAACAGATGCATCTGTCAAGCTGGTGGGGGACACACAAAGTGGACTGCATAATCACATTCTCTTTGGCTGTAGCAGGCCACAGGTGTGTGTGTGTGTGTGTGTGTGTCCGTGCAAACACGGAATCTATATTCATTACCGGACTTGCTTTGATGTCTCAAAAGTGCAAGATAGCAACCAGGTCTTTGTGGGGAAAAAACCTGCATCTGTGTGTTAAGGTGACAACGCTCACATCACTGCAAAAGGAAAAAGCAATTCAGTTGTCTTGCATTGACTGAAGCTCTACACCGTTATCGATAACATATTTAGCCAAATATGAAATGGATCTGGCAAAGACGACAACTTTCTTTCAAATCTGTATCACCCACAATTTCTTTTTTCAAAGATGGGGTTATTTGAGTGATGCATTAGGTGTCACAAAACTCTTTCAAGTGGTTTTCCTGGAATAATTCTTGCTCCATTTCCCAAAGCAGCATCACCATCTTAGGTGTGCCCGTGCTTCATCCAATATGCACATTTTGCTCCACATTGAGATGGATTGATGATGCGTCTGAAGTCAAACTTTTATTATATTTTGTATTTTTCCATCTGATGACATTGAGCTTGTTTTTTTTTTTTACACTAATGTGTACTATTAATACTGTGTGAACCTGTGAACTCTTTTACTTAAGTGCTCTCCTACTCAAGTCATGGATGTTTTTCACGAGCCTGAAGCACTCAGTGAAGCACTGAGTGAAAGGCGCCAACAAAAGACACTTGATCATATCCATCTTTAATGGGCTGAGTGTTGGGTTTGCACCACAAACATTTGTAGCTTAATTTCTGGGACCGCTTTTGGGTCAAACTTTAGAAAGCAAGGAAACAGAAGAGCTGGTTGAAAGTCCACTGCCGCATGCCATCGTAGCATCGCATTACAAACATCAATTATTGATTCTGCTGGAGAGACGTTTACTTGTACTTTCCCCATTCACTGCCGAGGAGCAAAGCACGTTTTTGGAGGCATAAATTTTCTTAGCTCTACAACCAGACAAAAAAAGGGAATGCCCGAATGTCTACAAAGCAGTTGAGAGGTGGATAATATCCACAAATATGACGCCAATAACATTTTCAATCAAAATAAATATTAAAGTTATGTTGTGTAACCTCGAGGTCCAAAAGTTTACTTTTCAAAACTATAGCGTGGTCCTTGGGCTGTCACACACACACACACACTAAAAGCTTGGACATGAGACTTGTGGATCTGGTTCATTGGTTTTGGATACACAGCAAGAGTTAGAGTGCACATTACAAAAACTTTGGACTTTCTGATACCTCCCTGCACAGCTCGCCCAGTATGGGGCCCTACTTTCAATGAGCCACGTGCTGGTTGTGAGTCACCCATCTGCCACGATGTAAATGCTCCCCTGAGTTGTCAATCAAGGTAAAGGGAATCAATGGTCCATGTCGGAATCTGTTTTTTTTTTAATGTTTTGATAGAGAAGGAGAAAGATTTTAAGCTGTTTTTCCTACGCGGTAATAGAACAAATCAATCTGTGTCCACTTTAGGAGAGTTGGACCACTCTATAGTACACAAGAGGAGTGAGAAGAGTTTCTATATAGCATAGCTGCAATTGAACTGTCAACTTAACCACTTCATGGTTAAGTGAGAGTAGCGGAGAGGAGAATACTGGTTGGTGTTTGTGTTTGTGTGTCTCATGTGGGCAAGCTCAAGCTACGCATGTCATTCATCTGCGTCTGTGCTTCCATGCTTGGCTGATTCATTCTACTGTGTATGCAGGGAACCAGGGGCTCACAGCAGGATATCAGCACCACACATAAATCTGTTTGAGTCACTCCTGGTCAGCTCAGATAGCTCCAGCCCTCCTTATCCCCCGTACGGAGCCGTATCCCGTGTCCTCTACGGTGGAAAGCCATGAAACGGAGCTCCGTGGGCTGGCTTCACACGCCCCCTCCCCCCCCTCCCCCCCTCTCGGCCCGGGGCCAGAGCTCGACAAGTCTCACTTAGAATTTCAGCCCAACAGATCTGAACTAAAGAGGCCACTGAACTCCCCCTTTTTCCTCTCATTCTCCGTCACCTAACATGGCCCGAGAGCGAGCCGTCCACATCCATGCGACAGCATGAAAAGACACGGTGTGTATCTGAAGAAATGAAGCGTCCGTGGATGCTCGCTTTCATGCTTTTAATGGTGAGCCAGCAATTGTCACAGGATACACAAAGTGTGAGAAACACACACACACACACGTACTAGGACACTGACCAATGCTTAGTGCATGAATGGAGATAAGAAGATAGAGCAGCTCTGAAGCACGCTGTGGGAATAAAGGGGTTGATTTACTAAGCCAACCTGAAAATCACTGCCTGAGCTGCGAAGATTTGCGGTGGCGCATGTTTTCAATTTAGCCGGGAATTAACTAACACTCAGGACGCAAGTGGTCACAGTGAAGTTCATTTGAATGCACCGCTGCTAATTAAGAGCGGCTGCTGGGCTATTAAACACGTGTCTTGTCAATTTCTAGAAAGTAATAGAGTGCAAAAAAAGTTCTCTGCTCCTGAGCTTGAAATATCGGTTGAAGAAACCAATAAAAACATTTCTGAACTGCAGCCATGCAATTCCCTCCACTGCAGTGGACAATCCGCAATGATAAATCACTTCCAGCCACCATTTGGATAAAGTTCCTTTCCCTCTGCACACACCTTATTTTGCAGTTCAACATAAAAATGTCCCGAAATGTGTTATACAATAACCCATACATGCAATGTTGCCACTATTCAGTCGCCAGTACAAAACTTTAAAAACAGCCCCATCAACTATGCCATAACCATCCAAACGTTATCCGACTTGCAAATCCTGCTTTTGCTTTCTGTTCCCTTTTAACTTCTTAGCCCTGAGTTCTCTGTCTCTCCATTTCTTCTCCAACCAAACAATATAGGTACTGTCATGAGAATATATGTCCTCTTCCTCCCATTCAGTTTCTCTTTGTCTGCATCGTAAACCAGGGCCATTGAAAGCAGCGTCCCGGGCGTTGGAGAGCCCAAAGGCAGCAAGAGTGGCACCTTGCTGGCTGACAACCAACCTGGATGCACTATCAGCAGGCCACTGCTGGAGTTGGAGAGGACGCTGAATAAAATATAATGCTGAGGGTGGAAATATATACTGTATGTGCTGGGCGGTTCGGTGTGTGGGAAGAAAATAGAACAGGGGAAGGTAGGAGATGGAAGAGGACGCTATGTGTGGGTGCATACAAATGTGTGTTAAACTATCTTTGTTCATGCGAGTACAATGTGTTCGTGTGACAAGAATTAAGTTAGAGTTTCAGGCACTTCCTTGCAAGGCTTTGTGCGAGTGTGTGGGGGCAATAATCCCAATTGTAACCGAGGATTAAAAATAAATGCATAAAAAAAAAAAAAGGAGAAACAAAACATGCAAAACATGAGAAACTGAACACGAGAGGTTGCGAAACGAATTAGCGTGGATGAGTGTGTGATGAAAAACTGAGCAGGCACAAACAAAAAAAAGAATACAGGCTTCCGCACATAAATGAACAGCATGAGGATGAGATTGAATTTGATAAACTTCAACCCTGATAACACAAAGCCTGCAGCAGGTCTGCAGAGCGGCACGAATAGGACTTAAGGTTTCACAACGTACGGAAGTACAATTACACAGTAATTACAAACAAACCACAGGTCAACACCCTTAAACTATCTCATTATGAACACTTGGGTCACAAAATATTATCCTACGTGTAATCTCAAATCAACTAAAAGAGGGTTGAGAATCAAACCTCAATACTGACCCACCCAAATTCACTGAATCTTGTTTCTTAATTCTTTAATCAGATATTTCCTGATTTAAGAAATAAGCTTGGCTGTTTTACAAAACTGTGTAGGGTATGGCTGCTTGTGTTTATAACACAATAAACACTGCTTTTGAAAAAGTGTGGCGTTTTGTGTTAAATAAACAAAAACGACTGAAAGAAAAACAATATTTCCTCCTTTTTATTATTTTTACCCTAACTCATATCTTATTGACACCAGTACAAAAAACACCCATCACCAGAAGACAGGTTGCTCCTTTCTCTGAGGTCAAGTGGACATAGGTGGACTGCATCTCTCTTGTGCATGTGTGCATGCGTGCGTGCGTGTGTGTGGGGGTGTGTGTGTCCACTCTACTCACCGAGTCTCTTTGCAGCTTCCAGAGCCTCAGAAGCTGTGTCGGCCACATAGAAACGTTGGACCGCCACGCCACTCTCTTGCATCAGCTTCTTGCTCTGGTACTCTTGCAGATTGAGCCATCTCCTGGGACTCTGCCAGGTGCACTGGAAGAGGAGGAGGGAGGCAGGGTGAGTATGAGTATCACTTAGCAAGGGAAAGATATAGTTAAAACAGTGCTATAAATGGTACAGATCTCAAGCGGTAAACACCAAACAATAACACCTGCCTCAAAGTTCACACGCTACATCCTCTCTCTGCCCTTTCCCTGTAATGAGGCAGGCACCCGGGCCTAAGCTGCAGGACAGCCCTGAAGCCGTTTGCTCCATCAGCGGACACGGGCCGTGTCAGCTCCAGCTGTTGTTGCTATTAAAAGGAAATTGGCTTTTTAATGCGACGGAGAGACTGAGGCTGTATTAGAATTACAATGCCTCCACAGTAGCACACGCCGCTGTGTGCATGCATACGAGTGCACGTATGGGCGCGTGCAAATGTTTTCACGTGAAACGTCTTCGGGGAGTCGTTAAGGAGAGAAAAGCCATTAAAGTAAAGGGAAAACAAGAGTTCAGAGGGAAATTATGGCTCAGTATGCAAATGATTCTCCAGTGTGTGTATTTCCAGTGAAGATTAAACTAACATGATAACAACATCAGGATTGCACTACATTCTGTTGCTGACCAAGTTAAACTGAGCTAACCTTTTATCTACTGTTACTCTGCTTGAGCTACACAGGACATTAGATGCTTTAGGAGATATGGGGCACATCTGCACATGACAATGCAGACGATAAAGGCACAAGATGCCTTTAACATCATATGTTATTGAACTGTATGTTTGACTACTACCGAGATATTATTCGTGGTATATTGTCAATTCCACATCAACACAGGAAAATCAAATGCTCCATCACAATAACTGTGCTTAAGTCTGCACGGTCGATATTCTACTCTTTTTTTTTTTTTTTTTAAAGAAGTAGCCCGCGGTGGGCTTTGTGCTTAACAGTGGGAGAAATACATTTCTGTGCGGACAAACACAACCTAAAATATGGCAATAGCGTCAAGCAGTGCACTGGCCTTGAAATTGAATCTGCGTCCCTCGAAACTGACTGAGTGATATTATTTTTGAAAAAGCAGACGAAGACGGACAAACAGACTTGGCCAAATGTTACAAGAACATAGAGGTACTGTAAATATTTAGCTAACCATCAAAGAGTATGTGAAATAAAGGCGTCTGCCTTGTCATGTGCAGATGTGCCCCTTATGTTGGTGCAGATCTCCTAAAGTCTCTAATGTCTTGTGTAGCTCAAGCAGAGTCACAGTGGATAACGGGTTAGCTCAGTTTAACTGCAATCCTGATGTTGTTATAATGTTGGTTTAATCTTCACTGGAAATACACACACTGGAGAATCATTTACATGCTGAGCCATCATTTCCATCTCAATTCCTCATTCAGGAACCTTCACACTCTAACAAACAGTGTCTGAAGTGGGGAAGCTGGACCACAGTGTATTGGGACACAAAACCACTGTGAGTAAAATGTCATTTAAAAAGGGTTTTTCAGGAAATATTACATTAACTTATAGCAGTGAATTTTACTCACATGTCTAAACTTAGGGACCTGGACAAAGACAACAATAACCCTGCAGCATTCAGCGTCAGGCTTAACAATTAAAAGGTGCGGTGTGTTAGATCTGGCCAGAATTTGACTTTAAAACATACAAAACAGAATGAACACTATCAACAGAATGCAAAGAGGTTACCCTGTTGATGTTATGTCAAAGACGTCAATGTATTGTGTCGCAGAGATATTCTACGACAGTCTATAACAGACTAGCCCCGGGGGCATCCGGCGGAGGCATGTTCCACGGATGACAAAGAGTGGAAAGGTTTCATGCAAAGTCATTTGACTGCCAACAGCTTCATTCAGAAGAGGGATCAAATTAAATCTTTTGGACTCACTGTTGACCATGCCTGTCTTTGTTGTGCATTATATTTTTAAGGCTTGTACGGTAAAAGGGAAAAAGACTAAATTGTGTTCTCATGCATAAAAATGTATGTAGCATTCAGATACCCTAGGAATACCATAAAAATGCAACATATGTACACATGCAATCAAACATACGTACATACTTGAAAAACACTGCATACACAAGGAATAATAATACACAGGATGGATTCAAGAGCAACAAAGATCAAAACATGCAATGCGTGTGCCTTCTAAAATTGCCCGTCACTCCATCATCCATGAGAGGGACATAATAAGAACACATGGGTGGGAGGGTTTGTTCAACATCTCTCAACCATTAAGTGATGGGGGAAGTGAATTGTAACCATAATTAACCCTCGGGCCTAATAGTTATCAGTGATTAAAGGCTAATGAGCTTGACATGGCCACTCTAATTGGGCACAGCACTGTTTTTAAATCCAGACCTGAGCACAATGATCAATGGGCCTCAACTGAAAACAAAACCCCGCATGATTGGTGATTCACAATTCATGCCAAACCCAAGGCTCTCTGTGCCACAACGCAGTGTATTAGCATGCTTTCTCCATTCCAACTCTCGGGAGAGCCTGTCGGGAGACTTCATCAGAGCCAAATGGGTTGTTTTCTAGAAGAACAGTACATGTTGATCCAGATTGGACTCTTCTCTCGCATAATTCGATGCAGTAATGAGGGGCATCTGCAGGTCACCTCTGCAATACCATACTCTTCATATGTTTCAGTTATTGCAGTCTGTATAGTGTGCATGGCATTCGGAGCAATGCTTTAAAGGCGATCTCCAACACCGGCCGATATTGCATAAAAGTCTGCATAGCAATATATATAACAAGAATAAATCGGAAAAAAATAGAATAGAAATAAAAATAGAACCGCACATGGGGAAAAACTAAAACAGATTTGGACTAAATGTCTGTCTGTTGAGCCAAACCTGGAGTCTGTGAGTGACGCATTCTTTATCTTCCTGCCTGCCTGTCACAGCCTTAACAAGCCAAGCTGCAGAACGACTTCTCTCTGTTTTGTGGACTCATTTGACTGCTGTCAGGTACCGGCGGAGCCTCCTCTCTTAAAACATCCACTTCCCTCGCCATTTAAACTGTTTGCCTCGGGAGGATCAGCTCTGCTGCCTGGGTGCACATCTCACGTCCGTCTATCTTTTGTTCTTCCTTTGACGAAAGAAAAATGGCAGATGAGAGGCAGTCACGGGACCAGCTTGGGCCCACTTTCGACATTGAAGTAGCACAAGATCACAGCGAGACACGTTAACCGACAGGTCTAACAATTAGGATTAGATTTTGAACTCTGAACCCAAAACATATCCAGAATATGATCAAGCTGGCACTGCCATCACGGACAAACTAGATGTTTCACAATAATTCTGGTCGAAGCTTCTGCGACGTTAACTCTCCGTGTTAGAGACAACGATCCATCAGTGACGAAACATTAACGTCGGTTACGGCTTCACTTTAGTAACCGAGGACGGTTCAAGATAACAATAAGCAGGACAAATCCCCTGCCGGCTGCAGGCTCCGTCTCGACTAGTCCATGCATCCCTAATTTTATCCAACAATTATTTATAAAATAGCTTGGAAACGTTAATGTGATCTGAACACAGAGTTAAAATAAATTAGCCTAAGTACAACCGTATGGTACTCCTGGCACATTTGATCACAAAAGATCCATTGCAAACAGAAGTACAAAAAGTCCTAGCAAGGTTGAGAAGACTCACGAAGACTCACTCACGAGATAAAGGAACAGTGTTGCAGTACACAGACTCAAAAGCATCGGAAAATATTGTTAAACCATTGTTTATATTGACAATAATGTGACCTGGAAGCCACTGCCATAGTCTAAACGGACAAGACGAGTCTCAGAAAACCAGAACTCTGAACAAAATAAGGGCTCACAAATATGCAGCAATCATGTAAATCTGCCATTGGCATTCCCAAACCAGCAAACTAGGACAAACCAGTACATATCAATTAAAACAGAAAAGAGAGGAGTGGGGATGAGGAGGGGGGAAAAGAGGGACGCAGACGTCCCAAAATAACAGCTGCTGCTTACTGGAGAAGTCAGGTGGGGCTGGAGGTGTCCCTCCAGGCGCCTGGAGTTACCTTGGGCAAAACACCGAGGAGCGGAGAGGCTCCAGAGCACGGTGTAGTGCGTACCAGACCCGGAGACAATGTGTATCAAAGACAATTCCACCTCATATGCAGCATGGAACAAGTCACCCTGTGATGGATTTTTACTTTCATTAAACGGTCTGCTGATGTCTTTTTAACAGGTGTAAATTATCATGATGATATATTGATAATCATAAACTTTATTTAAATAAAACTTCAAAATATACATTTACTAATTGCTTTACAGAAAGACAAAACATGGATCATTATAAAACCTATTGTTCAACCACTCAGTGTAGCCTAGTGTGAGTTATTTACTTATAGGCACACAACTTCTGTTTGTTTGTTGCCTTCATCTCCAATCTACCACTTTAAAATGTAACATGAGTACATAACTACAAATATATGGAGACCATTAGCAGCCGAGTGTGTAATACATATCAAATCCAAATAATAATTTAATTTGTAACATTAATGGCATAGAAATACACTTTAACTCTAGTCCTCTATATTTTACGGTCAACTCTGCATTTATAAACGTCCCCAAAGTGTCATAGTATCATCATGTGTTAATGTTATTACATTTATATTTCCACGTTTCTGGTTTTTAATTCATATCGTGAGTATCAAAGCTGAAGGGAATTTTCCACACTATGGACAACCGAGCTCCCCAACTAACGAATCACAGCTAATCTGCCACGCTAGACTTGGTGCTATTTAATATGCCATAATAACTCCAGAATCAAAATATTTTCAATCAGCATATCGGAGGCATGTAATGTTTTTTTTACAGCCAAGTGCATAAAATAGCACTTGGCTGACACGTTCACTTACTTTGTATGCGAGTGTTCGGGTCATATCACTAGATGGGAAGCAGAAACAACCATGGATGATAATGATAATACTCGAGTGGTGAAGTGATGCATTATGACGTTATCGTAATGTACTACGTATTGTAAATGCTTTAACTGTTGACTGATATTAGA